TAAAGGTAAGTTCATCAAATTGTAGCAATTTACACTTTCTTCCTGTATCAAACTTCTTTATATTCCTTTTGTTGAGTTCTGATCATCAAGCCATCCAAGCTTGGCCTAATGTATCCTTCCATATTCTTTTTTTTTTTCAATGTTTTATTGTGAATTATGTGATAGTTTACATGGGAGAACATTAGTTTTACATTCATTCTATCGTATATCGTCTCATTGCCATGGTTACAATCCCCTCCATGCATCATCAACCAACCAAAGGGTATATGCTGCAATCCTTTCCCGTACCCCCCAGGTCTTCAGCACACAGTCGCTCTCCCTCTCTGGATCTAAAGTCTCCAGCTGCTCCATCGCTCCACGTCATCATCTCTGCCTCCATTTCAGGCATCACTGCTTCTCTGGGTGGGGTCCCACTCTCTGCTCTTCTCCCTTGATGGTCCCAGGGACCTCCGCTCCTAAACTGAAAAGTTAATCACTCCCCTCCTTGCTGTAGCATCTATCTTTACATTTCCAACCCTCACAATCAGTCCTGATAACAATTATTCACTATTGTATCACAAGAGACCTATCTGCATTCATTTCATCAGCCCTGCCTAGACAAATTGAATACTATTCAATGGAGATTCTACCTTCCTCCAGGTCCTCTGGATCTAGGTTTCCTCTTGAAAGCTTGTAAGCCAGTCACTTTTTGCCTTTGTAGCCCCCCACTCCCCATTTTGGGTAGCCAATGTCCAAGTTGCCCATCCCTGTCTATTATGTATACTTCCATATTCTTTTGATGCCTCCTGCATCCTTCAATATTTTGCCCATAGAATTATTTAATATTGCAAGTCAAGGCTTGATTTTTTTTCTTCAGCTTGAGAAATGCTGAACACAGTCTTCCCTTTTGATTTTCCAACACCAGGTCTTTGCACATTTCATTATAATACTTGACATTGTCTTCAGGTGCTACCCTTTGAAATTTTCTGTTCAGCTCCTTTACCTCATTTCTTGCATTCACTTTAGCTACTCTACATTCAGGAGCAACTTTCAGAGCTTTCTTCCAACATCTGCTTTGACCTTTTCTTTCTATCCTTTTATTTCATGACCTTTTGCTTTCTTCCTGTATGATGTTCTTGATGTCATCCCACAACTCATCTGTTCTCCGGTCTTTAGTGTGCCTAATACATCAAATCTGTCTCGAAATTCAGGTGAGATACATTCAAGGTAATACTTTTACTCTTATGGAGTTGTTTTCATTTTCTTCAGCTTCAACCTGAACTTGCATATGAGCAATTGATGGTCTGTTCCACAGTTGACACTGACCTAGTTTTGGCTAATGATACTGAGCTTCTCTATCATCTCATCTCACAGACACAACCAATTTGATTCCTGCGTATTCTATCTGGAAAGGTCCACGTGCCTTATATGTTGTTGGGAGAAAAAGGTATTTTCAATAAAGAAATCATTGATCTTGCAAAATGCTATCATGCACTCTCCAATGTAATTTCTGTCAACAAGACCATATTTTCCAATGACCAATTCTTGCTCTAGTTTCCAACGTTTGCATTCCAATCATCAGTGATTATCAATGCATCTAGATTGCATGTTTGATCAATTTCAGATTTCTTCATCATTGGCTTAGGTGGTTGGCATAAATTTGAATAATAGTTATAGTAACTGGTCTTCCTTCTTGTTGTTGTTGTTAAGTGCTGTCATTCCTTGTAGGTGTATTGAATATTTTTCGATCATAGACAGCATTGCATTTCAAGTTAGATCTTGAAATCTTCATTTTGATGATAAATGTGACACCGCTGTTCTTAAATTTGACATTTCTGACCTAATAAACCATATGATTGTCCAAACAAAATGGCCAATACCTTCCATTTCATATCACTTTATTGTTAATTGGTTAGTGCTGTAGAATTGGTACCTGACTCACAGCGATCCTGTCCAAGGTTCTGAGGCTGTAAATCTTTGCGAGAGCAGAAAGCTTCATATTTCTCTGATGGAGCAGCTAAGTGGGCTGGAACCACAGACATTGTAATTTGCAGTCCAGTGCTTATCCTACAGGGTAACCACACTCCTTTCATTTCACTTACCTAGGATATTGATCTTTATGCATTCCATTTCATTTTTTATGATTTCCAATTTCCCTAGAGTCATTCCAATGATTAAAGAATGCTTGCAGCTGTTTCTTTTCATTTTGAGTTTGGTCCCATTAGCAAACGAAGATCCTGAAAGCTTTACGCCATCCACATCATTAAGGTCAACTCTTCTTTGAGAAGATAGTTCTTCCCCACTGTATTTTGAATGTCTTCGAACCTGATTGGCTCATTTTTCAGCACCATATCAGACAATGTTCTGCTGCCGCTCCTAACGTTTTTAGGGGCTAATTCCCCAGAATTATTCTTTTATTCTCTACCACTCATCTGTCAGTTTGTCGTACTGTGGTGGCTTTTATGTTGCTGTGATACTGGACGATACGCCACTAATATTTTAAATACCCGCAAGGTACACCCATGGTGGGCAGGTTTCAATTTCCAGACTAGGAAGAAGGAAACATGTACTACTTGCAAATATTTAGTCACTGAAAACCTGATCAATAGTAGTGGAGCACCGTCAGCACCAGAATATTGAAACATGATGAAGAGCACCAGAATTGTCAGATATAGTCCCAGAAGATGGGTCCCTCACGTTGGAAGGTGCTCAAAATATGAGTGGGAATGAGCTGCCTCCTCAAAGTAGACTTGACCATGATGACGCAAATGGAGTAAAACCTTCATGATCTTCATTTACTGATGGGGCACAGCTCAAAATAAAGAGAAACAGCTGTAAACATTCATTAATAATAGGAACATAGAATGTACAAAGTATGACTCTAGGAAAATTGGAAATTGTGAACAACTAAATGAAATTGTCAACAATTAAATGAAATGGATCAATAGCCTAAGCATTAGTAAGCTGAAATGGATGGGTATTGGCCATTTTGAATTTGAATTTTACTATGCCAGGAATGACAAATTGAAGAAGAATGGCATTGCATTCATCATCAAAAAGAACGTTTCAAGATCTGTCTTGAAATACCACGCCGGCTGTGTGTTCCAGGGTTGTATTTTTCTTTCACCATACTTATTCAATCTGTATGCTGAACAAATAATCTGAGAAACTGGATTATCTGAAGAAAAATGTGGCATCAGGATTGGAGGAAGACTCATTAATAACCTGAGATATGTAGATGATGCAAGCTGAAAGCGAAGAGGACTTAAAAAATACTTACTGATGACCAAAGACCACAGCCTTCAGTATGGGTTGCCCCCCAATGTACAGAAAACAAAAACCCTCACCGCTGGACCAATAAACAACATCCATATAAATGGGAAAAAGTATGGAGTTGTCAAAGCAATCATTCATCAACACTCAGGGAAGCAGCAGTCAAGAAATCAAATGACGTATTACATTAAGCAAATCTGCTATGCAAGACCTCCTTAAAGTGTTCAAGCGCAAAGATGTCAATCTAAAGACTAGGTAGGGTACACCTGACCCAGGCCATGGTATTTTCAATAACCTCATATGCATGTGAAAGCTGGATAGTGAATAAGGAAGAACCTAAAAGAATTGATGCTTTTGAGTTATGGTGTTGGAGGAGAATATTGAAAGTACCATGGACTGCCTAAAGAACCAACAGACATTTGTTGGAAGAAGCTAGAATGCTTCTTGGAAGCCAGGATTTCCAGACTTCCTCTCTCATACTTTGGACACATTGTCAGAAGGGACCAGTCCCTGGAGAAGGATAACATGTTTGGTAAAATGGAGGGTTGGAGAAAAAGACAAAGACCCCCAATGAGATGGATTGGCACAGTGGCAGCAACAATGGGCTCAAATGTAGCAACAATTGTGAAGTTGGTGCAGGACTGGACAGTGTTTCGTTCTGTTGTGTGTAGGGTTGCTATGAGTCAGTACCTATTTGATGGTACCTAACAACAACAACTCAACCCGACCATAACATGATACGCATTCTTTTCCATGTACATGGAACATTCTCCAGAGTAGACCATATGCTAGACCACAAAGCAAGTTTTTTGACTTGCACATGGTCTATTTGAAAATTTTTAAATATCAAAATACTACAAACCATTTTCTCAGATCACAACGCTATAAAATTAGAAATCAACAATAGGAAGATGAAGGAGACAAAATCAAATATATGGAAAGTGGATAACTTCCTGCTTAAAAGCCACTGGTAGCAAGTAAAAATTGATAGAATTTAATTTAATTTTACTTCAATGATCATGGAAGCAATGGTTAAGAAATCAAATTATGTATTGCATTGGACAGATCTACTGCTGAAGTGTTAAGGAACAAAGATGTCACTTTGAGGACTTAGGTGTGACTGACCCAAGCTATAGTATTTTCAATCGCCTCATATGCACGTGAAAAATGGACAATGAACCATGGTGTTGACGAAGAATGTTGAAAATACATGAACTGCTAAAAGAACAAATAAATCTGTGTTGGAAGACGTACAGCTAGAATGTTCTTTAGACGCCATGATGATGAGCAAAAGAAATGATGGAAGCGCATGGTGTCACCCTTGACTTCTTCGCCCAGCTTTGCTATTGACCTGACATTGAGACCTTAGGCCAATCCCTTCCCTTACTTCACCATCAATTTTCTCATTTTATAATGAAAAATTAGACACAATGCTGCTTGATTCTTATTGTAGTCCAGGAAGAAGTACTTAGGGATTAGCCCTAGGAGGGGCCCTTCCTTTCTGGTGACATCATAGAGAAGAGAGTTCCTTTCTAGAAGCCTCAGTGCTACTGTTCAGCTCAGGTGAGAAGGGAGATATAGAGAGGGGCCTTGTTGGGCCCAGGTCTTGAGCTCTCTTCATCCCAGGGTTCTTTGCACACTTATGGATCAACACACCATGTCTCAAAAGGCTCAAAATGAGACAGACATCAGTAATTTAGAGGAAGTCCCTGGTCCCCACTCACCATCCCCACATCCCAGGTCAGGCTATGGTGGGCTTCATCACCGAACTGAGGTCCATCAGCCTCGTGTGTCCCGTCATCGTGATGAAAACCACCACCCTGGTGAGTTCCAAGATTCCCGTAAAAATGCCTTCTCCCGTCACTCCCACCACCACGGTGAGGCCGGTCATCATGGCAGAGTCCATCACCTCCATGGTGGGTTCCAGCAGCCCCAGGACCAATCCGTTAACCCGGCTTCCTCCCATGCCATTGTGACCACCCTCTTTTCCTCTGGTAAAGACCATTCACATCACATTGATCGTGAGTACCCCCAAGGCAACAAGATATATCAAAGGGAATCCAGCTTCCATGGTGAATCCCCCCACCATGGTGAGGAACTATCCAACAATCCCTCTAGTGGATATCGTCGCCACAGTGGTGCCTCCCATCAAGGCGAGATCCCCCAGGGTGAAACATACCACCAAGACGAGCCTGTCTACTATGAAGAGTTCCACAACCACCATGGTGAGACCCCCCAATTTGGTAGGCGACTTCCTCGCCGTGGAGAGACCTATTCCCACCAATCCAATGAGGGGTCCTTCTGTAGTAGCTTCCATCACCCTCGTGGTGAGCACCACCACAGCAAATACCATCACAGTGAACGTCTCCGCCATGGCGAGCATCCGCACCGTGGTGGGCACCACCATGGACAGCCTCACCACAGTGAGCATCATCGCCGTGAACATCTCCGCCGTGAACATCATATCCCCGATGCGGAGTACCACCATGGTACCTACCAAGTCTCTGGACCCTATCTGTCCTCCAGCACAGTAACAAACCTCCACCGTGATATGTCACGCATCAGGAGCTCGGGTCAGTTTGTACCTCCATCCCTCAGTGTAATTCACTCACGCAGCTCCCAGACCCTCAGCAAAGTCCATCCCCAGGCTGCTTTCACCTCAGAAGTGGAAAACTGGTGTGAAGATGAACAATTTCAGAAGCGCAAAAGTAAGTCTTTTGCCCAGTCATTCCCTCACCCTAAATCCCACAACCCGGCAGATCGAATTCAGGCCTTTCTGCAGATTGTGTATATTCCATTGGCCACTCACTCACATGATTGTTTATCACCTGACCTTTTATTCCTCGAATTACGTACGCCTCCAGGCTGAGTTGTTTGTTCAGTTACTACTTTATTCGTTCACATGTTCATTTCTCAGGCATTTGCTTATGTCTAATGTGGGTGACTGGCCTGGAAGGATCTGATACAATGCCTGTCCTCTAGGATCTACAACACTGGGGATGACCTCTTAAACAACCAATCACAGACTGGCCAGTCAAAGGGGCCTGTCCTCCTCCCCTTCAGAGCATATGTCGTGGTGGATTGTAGCCATATTTCCTCCACTAAACTGTGAGCTTCCCGAGGTCAGGGGGGTGTGAAACAGTGACTGAAAGAGAACCTTGTTCACGAGAACATGGAGAGATCTTGACTCGGAACTCACTATTTTCCACACTTGGCTCTTAGCAGGAGTTCAGGAACCATGGAGTCTGGAACTCCATGTCTCATGACTAAAGAGTTACTAGAGCAGAGAGGGGGTGAAGTCTACGAATGGGGACAGGGAAGGCAGGCCAGTGGAGGGGACGTTTCATTGGGGTCTGAAAGAGAGAGGGCGAAACTCCCAAGATAATAGGTGTGTGGAGGATTGCACATCCCATTCAGAGGTTGCAGTCCCAGCAAAGAAGAGACTGCACCATGGCAGCTTGAGGCCTTAGGAAGGAGTAGACTCCAAATTCCAAATAGACGTCCATGGAGGTCAGCCTGTGGGCCCAGCAGCAGCACAGGACTGGCACAGGGGTCCCTCAGAGAGAGAGGCAGGCAGGCAGCATGAGCCCTGACCCAGTCTGCCAGGGCACTTGGGGCCCTCACCTGTCACCTGCACAGAACTAACTCTCTGGTCCTTACAGTTGGCCGGACTCAGCGAGCTCACAAGAAACGTACTGAGTACCTGACCCAGTTGCTGTGGGAAAAGCTAAGCTTTTTGATTCAGTGGCTCCGGGAAAGGCTCCTGCATCTGACAGAGACCATGGCCTTTGAAATCTTCATCTTCTTCATCATCTGCCTCAACACCACCATGATGGTGGCCCAGACCTTTGCTGAGGTTGAAGTCCGGGGTGGTAAGAGCTGGTCACTGGAGCCCTGGTCACTGTTGGTGGACCTTCTGGGGGCCTAACCCAGGCCTTATCTCCTTTTCTCTCACCCCTGAGAAGGAGATGCCAGTTGCCCTTGTGAGAGAGAGATGCAGTTCAGGAAGATTTCCCAGAGCACAGCCAGCTAGAGACGGGCTGTTTGTTCTAGGCAATGGCCACCAGATGGCGCATCTGCTATAATTGTTCTGCTTTGGGCAGAAAAAGACCCTAGGATTCCAGGGTCTGCAGAAGGTGTCAGCGGGGGGGAAAGTGGAAAGTCTGGAGAAAGCTAGCCTCTGAAGTCTCATGGAGCAGGGTGAAAGAGAGGATCTGCCACAGGGCACATAAACTGAGGAGCTAATAATTAATAATAATAATGGCAGGTGTTTCTGGCATACTTAGTTTCAGGCTCTATTCTAGGTACTGTGCAAAATGCTCACAAGTCTATGACACAAACTGCTATTAGACCCATTTTACAGATAAGAAAACTGAGACATACAGACGTGTAGGGCAGAGCCAGAAAGAACCTAGATGTAGGGACTAGGAGGTCCGGGTGGTGAGGAGGAGGGAAAGTGGCTGGGGGAGGTGGGGGCGATGGCCCTGAGTGAGCCCTGGTATCTCTGCAGAGTGGTACTTCATGGCCATGGACTCAGTCTTCTTATGCATTTACGTAGTGGAAGCTGTGATCAAAATCATAGCCCTGGGTTCCAAGTATTTTCATGACGCCTGGAACAATCTAGGTGGGTGAGGATGGAACCAATGTGTGTGTGTGTGTGTGTGTGTGGTAGGAGCCATTGAACTGCCTATGGGAGGCTGAGGCTGCAGAGGGCCAGAGATCGGGTACTGATGCTGGGAATGCTGGGGGGTCCGGGCTAAGAGCCAATCAGCTACCCTGTGTCCTCAGACTTCTTCATCATGACCATGGCCTTCCTGGACTTCCTGCTCATGCAGCTCAATGCCTCCTTCCTGACCAACTTATACAACCAGAGCAACGTCCGGCTCCTCAAGGTCCTCAAGAGCCTGCGGGCCCTAAGAGCCATCAGGGTCCTACGGAAGTTCAGGTCAGCATGGTCACTGCTGCCCACCCTGGTGTGGAGACTCTGAAGGTGGAGTGGATGGAAGCTGATGGTCCTAGAGAATTCACTGTGATCTCCTTAAGGGATGGGGAGGGAAAAGCCGTAGAACCCACCCCTACCCCTACCTCCCCACCCTGCCTTCCTCAGTCTGCTTCTGACATGCCTGCCGCCCTGCCCTCTGCTGGGAGCAGTCTCTTCACTTTCCTGGAAGGAGCAGGGAATCCCCTAAATCACCAACAAATTAGGGACCTCCTGTCTTCAGGGCCAGCTCAAGGCACAGGCTCCCCTAGCCTGGCTGAGTCAGCCTCGTCCCCATCTCTGCCCACAGCATCCTGAACAGCCTTCAGGAACTGACGGGGACTCTGGCCCCATCCCTGCCGTCCATCACAGCCATCCTCATTCTCATGTTCACCTGCCTCTGTATCCTACACTGTGGGGGTTGGTGTGGCAGGTGACAGGGATAGGACCATGTGAGCCCAGTTTTGACCCTGAACAACCAGTCCTCTTCTCTGTGGTGCTCCGGGCACTGTTCCGCCATTCGGACCCCGTACGCTTCCAGAACCTCTTCACCACCCTCTTCACCCTCTTCACCATGCTCACTCTGGACGACTGGTCCTTCATCTACTTGGACAGCCGGTCTCAGGGTGGGGCAAGCCTTGGGTTGAGTGGAGGGCAGGGCCTGGCCTTTCAAGACCCTGAGGCCTTTTGATGCGCGGCTGGTGAGGCAGGCTGGGAGCTCATAGTTGGAACAACCCCTCTCTCCTAGGAGCCTGGTACATCATTCCCATTCTCATGGTTTATATCATCATCCAGTACTTCATCTTCCTCAAGTGAGCACCTCCGCTGCTCTGTGCCTAGCTTCACTTCTCCCCTGTTCCTGGGGAGCCCCACTCCCAGTGCCCTCATGGTGGGTGGGGTGTGTGGAGACAGAGCATCTGCTAGGCCCCCTCTTTGAAAGCATTCCTGCCTCCAGCCTGGTGATTGCAGTCCTGGTGGACAATTTCCAGATGGCCCTGCTCAAAGGCCTGGAGAAAGTGAAGCTAGAGGTTTGGAGTTGGATGGGGTAGGAAGATGAGATGAAGGGTACTGAGTCAGGGCTTAGCTGGTCCTGTCTGTGTCCCATAGGGAAGCGGGGAGAGGGCTCTAGGGATGGGTGGGCATGGGAGTTTGGTGGGACAAAGTCCTCTTCTTCTCAGAGGGCTGCCCGATTCCAAGAGAAGCTGTTGGACGATTCACTGACGGAACTCAGCAAAGCAGGTGCCACCCTGCCCACTGCGGCCCTCCCTGCTGACCTCGGGGTGGGCTGCTCTCTCCCTCTCCCACCCCTCCTTCCACAGCTAGATATAGAATTCCAGCCTCAGTGTCAATACTTCAGAACCTGGGACTCGAGAGAGCTCTCAATGGTTAGGACTATGAACCAAGGGGCTCTGAGACAGTCCTGAAATCAAACTAACAGACAAGAGAATTAAGAGTAAGTTTCAAAAGGTCCATTTGCAAAGTGACAGATTAACCAAACACATGCTTCTATCAACTGTTTATAACACTTGGCCTAACTCGATCTGGTTTTAACTGCCGTTGAAGGTTGTCCATGTGCTTATTCACACTTGTCCAGAATTATCTGACATGGATTGTGAGTCTATAAAAATGTTTCCTGTACATGTACAAGTTCCTCAGAACTAGATAGACTCTGAGCTCCAGAATCCCACCCTAGGGTCACCATGGGGTCGTCTGGGCACTTAGTGGCACGCTTCATTATGAACATTTAGAGACAGGAAGCTTAAGCAAAAAAAGGTAATCTATTGGCTCCATTGGTAAGTGGAGGGTGTGTGACTCTAAGGGATGGCTGGATCCAGGACTCAAATGACGATCAGGGCTCAGTCTCTTTTCCACATCTTTGCTCTCTAATTCTGTGTGGTTTTGTTCCTGGGCAGCTCTCTTCCCTGTGGTGGCAAATGGCTACTTGCAATTCTGGTCCCAATTTCTCACAGTACCCATCCATAGAAATATCTGGGTGGTACAAATGGTTATGTGCTCAACTACTAATCGAAAGATGGCTGGTTCTAATTCACCCAGAGGTGCTTTCAAGGAAAGACCTGGAGATCTACTTGCAAAAGATCACAATCCCCAGACATGAAAGGAAAAAAAAAAAAAAAATGTAGACAGACACTAGGACAGTCGTTGAGCCGGGGAGATTCAGATCAGGATCAGGTAGTCAGACAGAGACACTCTCTGACAGAGAGTAGTGCCTGCATGCCTGCCTGATACTGGTGGTTCACTGGTCGTCATTGGAAATCCCATGGCATGTGGTTCTACTCTAAAACACATGAGGTTGTCATGAGTTAGGATCAACTTAACAGCAATTGGTTTTAGCAGCCCAAGTCCCCAAAATGCTCTGGAGGCACAGAAGACCCTCAATCACCTATACCAAGAGATTTGGAAGACAACTACCTGGCCAACTGACAGGAAGAGATCTGTATTTATGACCATTCCAAAGAGATACCAGAAATCATTGGACAATATCATTGATATCCCACGCGAGTAAAATTTTACTAAAGATAATACAAAAATGGCTGCAAACATACATTGGCAGAGAACTTTCAGAGGTTCAAGCCAGATTCAGAAGAGGACGTGGAACAAAGGACATCATTGTTGACGTCAGATGGATCTTGGCTGGAAGCAGAGACTACCAGAAAGATGTTTAACTCTGCTTTACTGTCTACTCAGGTGATTTCAGTTGTATGGATCATGGTAAGCTATGGACAGCATTGCAAAGTATGAGTATTCCAGAACACTTCATTGTGCTCATGACAAACCTGAACATTGGTTCAAACAGAACAAGCAGACACTGAATGGCTTAAAATGAAGAAAGGTGTGTGTCAGGGTTGTACTCTTTTACCATACTTATTCAACCTGTATGCTGAGCAAATAACATGAGAAACTGGATTATATGAAGAAAAAAGTGGCATCAGGATTGGAGGAAGACTTACTAACAACCTGCAATATGCAGATGATACAACCTCTCTTGCTGAAAAGTGAAGAGGACTTAAAATATTTACTGATGAAGAGCAATGACGGGTTCATGCCTTCAGTATGGGTTGCATCTCAATGTACAGAAAACAAAAATTCTCACCACTAGACCAATATAAGAAGATTGAAGTTGTCAAAGATTTCGTTTTGCTCAGATTAACCATCAACACTCATGGATGCAACAGTCAAGAAATCAAATGACAAATATTGTATTAGGCAAATCTGTTGCACAAGACCTCTTTAAAGTGTTCAAAAGCAAAGATGTCCATTTGAGGACTAAGATACACCTGGCCCAAGCCATGGTATTTTCAGTAACCTCATATGCATGTGAAAGCTGTACAGTGAATAAGGAAGACCATAATGCATTTGCGTTATGGTGTTGGAGGAGACTATTAAAAGTACCATGACCCGCCAAAGAACCAACAGATCTGTGTTGGAACAAGTGCAGCCAGAGCGCTCCTTGAAAGCCAGGATGGCCAGACTTTGCCTCTCATACTTCAGACATATTATCAGGAGGGACCTGGAGAAGGAGATCATGTTTGGTGAAGTGGAGGGTCAGAAAAAAAGAGGAAGACCCCCCAGTGAGATGGATTGGCACAGTGGCAGCAGCGGTGGGCTCAGATGTAGAAATGATTGTGAGGCTGGCCCAGGGCTGAACAGTGTTTTGTTCTGTTGTGCATAGGGTTACTACGAGTCGGTACCAACTCAATGGCACCTAACAACAATATCTATGTCCATTTCTGAACCTATCACTGTAACCAGAAGGATAGGCTGCTAAGATTGGCCAGGTGAAAATCACATGTCATTGGAGCTGTGGGTGGGATTGATCTCAGCTAGATGACATGAAGGGATGGTTTCTGAGAGAATTGGGATACTTTTACTAAAAAGGGGAATGGATACTGGACAGGAAAACAAAAAAAAGCTGCTTGATCTTATACATCCAGAGAAGAAGTCTCTTCAGGGGCATCCTGGATGAGACACTTTTGTTGTTGTTGTTGTTGTTGTTGTTGTAAAAGACCATCAAGTCAATTCTAACTCATAACAACCCTGTATAGGGTTTTCAAGGAGAGGCTGGTGAGTTTGAACCACTAACCTTGTGGTTAGCAGGCCAGTGCTGATCTTTCAGCACCACACCAGGACTCCAGAAACTCCTTTAGCCTCTGTCTAAATATCTCCATGGCTACAGGGTTTCCCCTGGTCCTCAGTCTCCTCTCTGAATTCAGGCATCTTCTTGACTCAAGTCTTCTTTCTCTACGTTCAGAGCTTGAAGAGCAGAGTGAAGAGACTCATAAGCAACTCATTGAGAAGAAATTTGGGGACATGACTGAAAAGTAAGGAGATGCCAAGGCAGGGGGCGGGACAAGGGGGGCTAAACTATGTGGAAAAAGGTCTGAGGTCCTGATCCAGTGGCGGGAAGTAGGACACTGCTTGTTTCTCTGGAAAGGGGACGGGATGAGGATACCATGATGGCTTCTGAACCCTTCACCAACCAGAGAGTCCCACCAGTAGTGCCTGTAAGGACAAGGAGAGCGCCTTTGAGGCCAAGAGTCAAGGTCAAAGACAGGCAAGGGGAAGAAGTCTTAGGGGAGCAGTGAATCTGCTCATCTCTTTATTTAAGAAGCATCCTTGATCCTTCTTCCTTGGACAAAGTCCTATGAGGGCTGCAGGGACCTAAACGGACTGAGTCCTGCTCAGAATGGTCCTGTCTCTAAAGACCTATGCTGGGCCATACAAGATGTAGCCAGGTGGGGGGATGAGGAGGATTATGGGTTAGAGGAGCAACCTGAGTAAAGGGTAGGAGGCCAGATAGTTAATCCCTGATTTCTGGGAGATGTGGCCAGCTGGCTCAGGAGAGCTGAGGACTTGTGACCATGCTATGACCGAGGGACCTTGTTATAATCTCTTGCTCCCTGGCTCTTAGGCCTGGCTTCGCAGAGATTCTTTCCTCCCCCACACAAACCTGTAGACTGGCTCCAGATCCGCAGAGAGTGGCTACTGGTATCTTCCAAGCTTGGCAGAAGCCAAGCTCCTAATAGACATTCAAGCCTTTGTCAACAGTTCTAGTATCATCAAAGTCACGATTACCCTGCATATCCCTCGTTTGAGCCATATTGTGTCCTAAGCATTCCATACACTTCTCTACTTTCAGACTTTTGCTCACACTGTTCTCTCTGCCTGGAATGTTCTCTGACTGTTGATGTTTGGTTTAGGTGATCCAATTCTGGCTCATCCATGACTGGGCTGAATGACTTGTTTGCCTTCCCTGTGGGTTCATTCTCCAGTTCATCCTTCTGCTCCTTGGTCATGGCCCTTGCCCAGGGCTCTGGTTTCTCTGCAGTATTTTCCTTGGTATTTTCTTGGCTTCCAGTCTCTTACCTACCTATCCACCACTGCTGGGAGCATTGTTGTTGTTATTGAGTCTGCTCACATACAACAGAAGGAAACACTGCATGGCCCTGGGCGATCCTCACAATCATTGCTAAATTAGAGTTCATTATTGTAGCCACTCAATGCCAATCCATCTCATTGAAGGGCTTCCTCTTTTTCATTGACCCTCTGTTTTACCAACCATGATGTCATTCTCCAGAGATTGTTGTTGTTGTAAGTGCCTTCGAGTAGGTTCCGACTCATAGCAACCCTGTATAGGGTTTCCAAGGAGCGGCTGATGAGTTTGAACCACCGACCTTGTGGTCCAGTTTTTTATCCTGCAACCCCACATTGGGAATCCTCTCCAGAGATTGATCACTCCTAATAACACGTCCAAAGTATATGAGATGAAGTCTCGTCATCTTCATCCCTAAGGGGCTTTCTGACTGTACTCATCAAAGACAGATTGCCTCATTCTTCTGGCAGTCCATCACTTATTCAAAATTCATCACTAACACCATAATTTAAAATCGATTCTTCTCCTGTCTTCCTTATTCATTATCCAGAAGAGTTGTGGCCACAGTTGGGGATGGTGGTCTCAGTGACGTAAGTGTGTGTAGAGAGGAAGGCAGGCAAGAAGAGCTGGCCTAGTGGTTGTGGGGAACCAGAAGTCTCAGGGATGGGGAAAAATCAAATCCCGCTTTCCTGACACCAAACTGTAAGGACCAATTAAATCCACTTATTATCAGTTCTGGTCCCTTCTGTTCTGTTCTAACCCCAACGGCATATGTAGCGTTTCATCCTCTGACCCTATCTATCCAAAGCTATGCCAGAGCTTACAAAGTAAAGATCCGGACTGCCAAGTCTGCCCAAGACTTCAGATGCCAGTCAAAAGCTTGGGTGTCCAGATGACACCCTTACTTCTGACTGTTGTTGTTGTTGTTGTGAAGTGCCATCGAGTCGGTTCCGACCCATAGCGACCCTGTACTAGTTGTCTACAAAGTTTGGATCTTCCCACTATCCTCAGGATGCCAACCATAAGTCCCCAGGTCCCTCTCACTTCTAATTTGTTGGCTATCATTACTCCCTTGGGTTCAAAAGCTCACTAGAATGACTCAGAACTCAGAAAATTGCTAAACTCGGTGACTAGTTTTCTTATCGCAAAAAACAATATAAATGAAGAGATATGTAGGGCAAGGTTTGGGGCGGTTCCCAACATGACTTTTCCATGTCCCAAAGAATATGCTAACCTTTCCCAGGTACATCCATGTCTTTCATCAACCAGGAAGTCCAGGGAGTTTCGGAGTCCAGAACCTTCACTGGGCACTCATTACGTAGGCATGATTGAACCATGCCCACCATTTTGTTGTTGTTGGTTATTGTCCAGTAGATTCTCCAGCCCATGGTGACTCTGTTTCCACAGGACTTGTAAGGCTGTGACCTTTCTGAAGCAGATTACCAGATCTGTCTTCAGAGGACTGAAGTGGTTTCGGAACACCACCCTTTCAGCATTTAACTGTTTATACTACGCAGGGATTCCTGCGGTCAATTGCTATCACTGCCTGGTGGTCTTCCTGGCCTGGCCAGGAAGGATGACCTGAGTGATCTTGTCAGCATACACCTTCAGGTGTGGTCTGAAGGCTTCATTAAAAACACTTCCATCCCTGGTGAAATTTCCAGGTTTTGAATATTACCTCCCAGGAATCCAGGACATAGATGAAATTCTTTGGGTACATTTAAATTGTTTACCTCTCACCCAGCCAGGTGGGTCAGCTCAGCTCTGGACTAACTCCCTCCTGTCCCCAGGCAGAAGGAGCTGCTGTTCCATTTCCTGCAGCTGGTGGCTGGGGTGGAACATCATCAACAGAAGTTCCGGTCCCAGGCATGTGTCATCGACAAGATTGCGGACACTGCCTTTGAGGTGAACCTGGCAGGACCAGAGGAGGGGCAGGAGAGGGGAGGCTCCTGGGGGGTCAGGCAGAGGGGGAGCTAGCTCATTCCTTCTCCCTGATCCGCCCCCTCCCCAGGCTGGAGAAGAGGATTTCAGGAAGTGATCGGTACAGAGTGTCTTGCCTGTGGCAAGCTGCCAGTTTCCCTCCTCTCACTTTGACCTGGGCAAGAACCCCAGAGTCCCTGTCTCTACAGCTGGGGGTGGCTGGCATGGGGTTGGGACAAGTCCTGGAATCTGATGGAATGATCCTCTGGACCCTGCGAGGCTGGGGCCTCAACAGAGTTTTAAAATCCCAGGTGACTCGATGTCATTATTAGATGGGCAATAGGTGAACGTGTGTGCCTTCATGTGTGTCTGTGGGTGTGTGAGAGAGAGAGAGTATGTGTGTGTATGTTTTGAAGAAGGGGCTATTCTTGGACCCCCACCAGTCTCACCACTGGCAGCATTAGCAGAGGCCCCAGGGAGCTGCAGAAAGGGACGATGTGCGCGTGCTGGATGTGCTGGAGACGACAGAGCAGACAGGGGTCAGGAGAAAAAGAGCAAGCCAGACAAGCCCAGGGTAGTCAGGGCAGGGTATCCTTAGGCTCCAGAAATCGGGGCTCAGGGCTCTGGACCCCGGGCCTACCAGGATCCTCAGCATTCACAATAAAGGTGCCAACCTCTTTGGGTACCATGAGCTTCGAGAGGGAGATTAATGGCAGGATATGCCCTGCCTGGGTCAGACGGCGTGGCTGTACACATTTCCTGGCTTTCTCTGGTGGGGGGGTTGGGAGGGTTGGGGGACAGGAGTGTGGAGCCCTGAGTGGCTGAGTCCTTGTTAATCTGTTAATCTGGAGAAAACTGCTCAAGGTCAGCCAGTTTGGGGCCTGAACGTGGTGAAGCATTTGTTGCTAAGGGCCATCAAGTTGATTCCGACTCATAGCAACCCTATATAAGGTTTCCAAGGAGAAGCTGGTGGATTTGAACTGCTGACCTTATGATTTGCAGTCCAGTGCTGATCCTATAGTGCCATACCAGGAGACCAGCATTTATTGCTCCTGAAAACTTCTTAGGGAGACCTAGTGGGGGTGTTGCCTTTGTTGTTGTTGGGTCGGTTCCAGTTCATAGTGACCCTGTATAGGGTTTCCAAGGAGCAGCAGGTGGCTTTGAACCACCGAAACTGTGGCTAGCAGTCCTGTGTTTATCCTATAGCACACCAGGACTCCACTCAGGAGCCTAAGCAATATTAACCCTATGCATTCTGTTGAATCTCTATCCTCTCGAATTTCATCCTTTAAGGTGTCATCCTTGGGAATTTTAGAACAAAGTGGACGCAGTATTTCCAATTCATTCCAAGCTGTCGCTGGAGATGCTTTGGGAGGGGTTTCAGAGTCTCTGGACTTGCCTCCTGGTTCTTAGCCTTTCCTTCCTCCCTCAGAAATCAGATGCTTCCTCATCTATCCAGACCCCTTGGCCAGCGCCCAGTTACGATGACTCACACAAGAATGTGGGAGATGCTAGGCAGAACACCCACAGGCCTGTGCCCATCTCCAACCTGTTTCTGAAGGCCCTATGCCCAACTGCTCTGGTAGCGTAGTGGTTACGAATCGGGCTGTGAACCTTAAGGCCAGCAGTTCAAAACTACCAGCCACTCTGTGGGAGAAAGATGAGGCTTTCTGCTCCTGTAAAGATTTACAGCCTCGGAAACCCTGTACAGGGTTGCTATGAGTCAGAACTGACAGGGTTGCTATGAGTCAGAACCGACTCGACGGCACTTAACAACAACAACAACATGCCCAACTGATATAACTGTCCTCATCCAACTTCCCTTGTGTGATTGAGCTTGGAAACTTCCTTACTCCTAAGTAGACTTAAGAAGGGAAATTGAGGACTTCTTAACACTGCCCCAAAGTACAAAATGGGGAGGTAACAATTTCCTGGGCAGCTGAGCAAAAAAGGTGCTGTCATGTGAAGTCTAGGTTCATTTCCAGCATTTGGCTCAGAACCCCAATAGTTCCTTCCTTAGCATCTGCCTCAGGATCCAGGCCTAATCTTGCCACTCTCCCCAAACCAATATCCAGAATTCCCAGGTGGCTTCCCCACACCCCACTTCCAACTCTGTACCTAGATCATTTGTTGTTGTTAAGTACCATTGAGTCAGATCCGACCCATAGCGACCCTGTACAGGGTTTCCGAGGCTGTAAATCTTTACGGGAGCAGAATGCCTCATCTTTCTCCCGCGGAGCGGCTGGTAGTTTCGAACTGCTGGCCTTAAGGTTCGCAGCCCGATTCGTAACCACTACGCTACTAGATCATGCTAATGAGTTAATATCCCACCAAACACACACACACATACACCAACAGCTGTTGTTGTTGTTAAGTGCCCTCGAGTCAGCTTGACCCATCGGGTTTCTGTGGAGCAGCTGGTGGGTTTTAACTTCCAACCTTGCGGTTCAAATTGGTGGTGGGTTGCTAAGATTCCCTTCGCCAGGCCTTCCAGGTCAGGGGGCTCAGAGAGAGTGAAAGATTGGGAAGAGAAGGGAGAGGAAAGGAGGGGGGTTGAGACAGAGGCATTAGAAGCAGCTGCATAGTGGAGGCAGGCTTGGTGGCAGGGTTGTTCTCTGGGTCCACTGTGTTCCTCAATCTCCCAGATCTCGAGTCACGCAGAAGTCCTGGGGTTAGTGTATACCTTCACACACCCACACTCCTGTTGAGGGCTGCTGGAGTGAGATGGAGGGCAGTCCTGGCCCCTATTGTGTGGGTGAAAACTGCTGGATAGCCCCTCCTCTCGGCCTGACCTGGGATGAGTTCAGGCCTCACAGCTGGAGCGGTGCACAACCGACTGCCTTCATCCGGTCCAAGCCTGGACCACTGCAGGGCCCTAGATCCCTGGCGCTGAGTCCCAGGAGGTGGTCTTTCACTCCTTCCAACACCCATTTCCAGGATGCAGTGTAGGCTGGAGGCAGGGTAGGACTCAGGTGAGGGGCACAGACAGCTTTGCCAACACCCTCCCCTCTCAAACACACACACACAGTCATACACACACACACACAGTCATACACACACACACACACAGTCATACACTCACCACTGGCCCAGGGTAGTGATGCCTGGGAGTTGGCAGGAGCAGCACCTCCCCTCCCTGAGCAGAAGGCCACCCAGAAGACACCTCTGGGCCTCACCACCGCCACACCACCTCACACATTCATTTACTAAACATTTCCTGCCACTTACCCTGTGCCAGCCCCAGGAGGGAGGCTCCTGCTTGGTGGCATGTGGTGGCCCTCCCAGAGCTGCCTCACCTGACAGGTTTGACCAGAAGTAGGGCTGGATACAGTTTTCCCTGCGCCTCTAATTCCTGACCAGCTCAACCCTCGGCTTCTCAGGCTCCACTGGGAGTCTGCCCATTACTCCACCCCACTGCAGTGTGGCCTACAGGGCAGAGAGCAGGGTCCTGGAGCTGGGGTCCTGGAGCTGGGGTCCTGGAGCTGGGGTCCTGGACCTGGGGCTGTTCTTCATTAGGTCTCAACCTTGGGCAGGGGACCGGACAGCCGAAGGTGAGGGCAAATTGCCAATACCCAGTATTCCCCAGGGATCCTTACTCCTCACCCTGCCCCAGGTGTGGGCATATTGGTGAGGCTGAGGGTCACCTCTGGGTGGGGGTACCTGGGTCTCTGCGCATGTCTGGGGATATACGTCTCCAAATTGTTCCTCTGGGGGCTGGCTGGGTGTGTGAGGCTGTGCTTCTGGGTTGCTAGGTTGTAGTGTTTGTTTTTCTGGTTGTGTGTGTGTGCAGTCACCCGAGTGTGTGTGTGTGCAGTCACTGGTTCTGGGGGTGTGTGTGTGGTGTGTATGAACTGCAGCCACAAATTCAAATCACAAATACCATCACAAATCTTTCCTTTAAATGACATTAAAGAAATGTCACTGAGACTAAATGTAATCTGAGTTCCTCTGAGGGCCCCTGGCAGACTGTTGTTGGACCTCATGCATGTTATAGGAATCCTCATACGCTGAGAGCTCAGTGCATTGGGTCCTGCTAGGTTGAGCCCACTAGGTGTCTCCTGAATTCCTTTTGGGTGCTGAGATGGGGCAGGGCCACCAGCACTGTTAGGTCTTGGGCATCATCCCTGGACTCTGACTTCCAGCTCTTAACTCTGAGAACATCGGGAGGTTTGTTCCTCTACATCTGCTTGTGTGGGATGTTTGGGGGAACAGCATCCTCAGCCCTGATTGGGGCTGGGCCCGAGAGAGCTCAGCTGGGATGCTATAGTCGCTGCCATGTTATAGGAGTAGGGAATGTGAAACACTCAAAAGACACCAATGTAGGAAGCAGTTAAGGTTTTATTGGGACTTGGCCCAGGACCCTTGGGCCACCTGATCCCACCTCACAGTGCTCAGGCCCAAGGGTGGCCTGTGGTAGACCTGTGGACCTAGTACATGGGCACACAGTCATTCTTTAGAAGCTGGGAGGAGTTCTGCCAGGGGACCACCAGGATCTCAAAGTTGCAGCGTAGCTTCTGTGGAGAGAGTTCGGGAGAGGGATGAGCAGGGCCCCACAGGCTGCTGTCTCCCCTCAGCCTGTGAAGAGGGGCAGTCACCACCCAAGGAGCCATGGTCAGAGCCAGACCCCAGCTCTTTCTCACTAACCTCCCCACCCCTGGGAAGTTGAGTCACACAGACATGGCATGGGGCCTCAGGTAGCTATCCAGGGCTAGAGAGGGGAAGGGGGCCAATATGGCTACCTCCTCCTCTGTGCCTGTGGCCAGGGGGCAGATAGTGAGGTCCACGCTGCGGTCTCCAGTCATCGCGTTCTTTCGACAGGCTGTACTGCTCATCTCCAAACTCAGGTAGTACTTGATGCCGGCCACCAGCTGGGGATGGGCAGGAACATCAGGGGTACCCCAGAGGACAACCATTCCCCTTCCTTCCATGCCCTTCCACCCACCTGTGAACATCCTGGTGGGAGTACATGGTCTCAGAAAGCCCCCCAGAGCTCTGCAGACAGGCAGGACAGGGGACGCATTGGGAAGAATGAGACCAGGTGGACACGCCCCCTTCCTGAGCCCTGGCAGACTGGCAGGTAACCACGGCCCTTTCTTCCCCATCACTGCCATGTCCCCATTCCACACCCCTTATCATTTCATTCCAAATCACCTCTGTGTTCCCACCCCCCAGTCCTCTTTGATCCCCTCATCTCTCACATCCCTCCAAGTCCCCCTTCATCTCCCCATCACCTCCATACTCCCACCTCCATGCCTCCCTTCATCCCCCCCCTCCCCCCGCTGCCCACCATCTTCCTTACTCCCCTCCACCTCCCCAATCCATTCAAAAGAGTGGAGGTGGGCAAGGATATTGCAAGTAAGGTGACTTATGGAAGTTAAATACAGATTGGGTCCTGTATTTAAAGTAGAGACATTTTGTTCATCATAAAGTTTTTGGCATTAATTTCATATTTAAAATATTGCATGAAAACACTGATCTCGATTTCTAAATCTTTTGGTGACTGACAAGTGCCGCGCTTGCCTCTCCCCAGCCCATCGCGCTCCACTCTCCCGGTCAGTGGTACCTGGCACTGCGCCTTGAGGATGTGCGTGTCGCGGAAGTAGTAGAGACTGTTGCTGCCCATGTTATAGGTGGCCACAGCCTCCTGCGCCGCCTTCTGCACCTGCGGGTCATTGAGCGGCAGATCCCGGACCTGCCCCGTCCGGAACTCCCCGGGCCGGGCCCGGGCATCGGGGGTCAGCAGCAGCAGACAGAATGCGGCCAGAGATAGACCCAGCATCACCGCACGGCTTGTTCGCTCCATGGTTGTCTGCCAGGCCCAGCTGCCGCGCCACTTTTATGGGCCCCGCGGCCACGCCCCGACTCCTCCGCAGCCCCCACCCCCGTGCACGCCAGGAAGGCCTGGAGCCGAGGTAGGGGCGGAAGACCGAGGGTGGCCCGAGGGCCTGAAATCTTCCTGAGGAAGAGGACGGTTCCCAGTAACTTACCATGACTTCTAGCTGTAGGACAAGCGCACAGCAAGATCGGTTTGAGCCACAAGGTTGGAGGTTCAAACTCACCAGTGGCTCCTCGGAAACCCTATACTGGGTCTTAACAACAACACTTAATAACAACAACTAGCTGTGTGGCCAAGTTCTGTGTAATGGGTTGTGAGAATTTGATGAAACGGAATAAAAAAATAATGGAATTTTTCAATGACCTTTTTGAACTCCGTTTATATATAAAGTGTTGAGAAGACGTCTGATATTGGGTAGGTGCAATGTAACCAGCATGTAAACTGGGGGGGGGAGAGGGGGAGGGAAAGAGGGGATCACTATGCTGACCAAACCCCCTGTCTTCTAGTGGTTTCTGATTCATAGAATCAGACCCTGAAGGACAGAAGAGAGCAGCCCCCGTTGGATTTCCAAAGTTGTAAATCTTTACTGAAGCAGACTGCCACATCTGATGGGTTCCAATCCCGGACCTTTCAGTGGCAGCTAAGCACTTAACCACTGTGCCAGCAGAGCTCCCTCACTAACCAGGCACTGTTTAACTTTGGGGACCAATGGTGAGTAGGGAGTATTACTGCTTCTACTTCACAGAAGAGACTGCATTTCCCCAAGGATAAATGGGGAGCCTGACTTTTGAGACCCTATATTCTGATATTCAATTGGAATCTGAGCTCTTCACTCCGACTGAGCCAGCAGGCCGTGGGGGCGTCCTTAGCTCTGCCATCTCTGGGTGACTTGCAGGTTTGTCTCCTGCCCTCCTAGAGCCTAGAGGTCCTTATCTGAAGAAGCTTGAGGATATAACATTGTTTGGGCATTAATGAGCAGGGCTGGGCTCCCTTCCTCACTAGGCAAAGTAGAAAGTCTTTTGGAAAGAATTTGACTATTGCAGGTTAATGTGCTGGACTGCAAGGTCAGTTTGAACCATAATGTTGGCGGTTCAAGCTCCCCAGCCGCTCCTTGGAAACCCTATACAGGGTTGCTATGAGTCAGAACTGACTCGATGGCACTTCACAACAACAACAACTTAAACAGCTTGAAGTAGTCATCATGGGAAAAGTTGGGGATTTGGTTGGAATTCTTTATCCGTGCTTTATAGTTTTCAGCCTTCACTGGTCTTTTATTAGTTACATGAAGGCAGGAGGTGGAGGTGGGGTGGGGGATAAGAGGGTGGAGAGACAAAGATTTTTGCAGTGCTTGGAGCCTCTGAGGGTCTTAACTTGCCTTGGAAGAGGCAGCAGCTCACAGTACCTGGTAAACAGATGCTTAATGAGTGGTCGTTACTAGGGTAGAGTCCTGGTGTGACACTGTAGGATAAACACCAGACTGCTAACCACAAGGTCAGCAGTTCAAACCCACCAGCGGCTCCTTGGAAACCCTATACAGGGTGACAATGAGTCAAAACTGACTCAGTGGCACAACAACTGTTAGGGTGACTATTATGAGCAAGCACCCAGTGCCTCTTCCTCCTCCCCACTCCTACTCAGTTCTGGACGTCTCAGAATCCAAAAGGAGGCGATTTCTCCTGGAGATCCAGACCAAAACATGCTCACTGCCCCCAGTCCTCAAAGCTCCTAGCCTGCACCCCGGCCCCCTACTCCCTACTCCAAATCCACCCACGTGCCACAGCCTAGCAGTGACAAATCCTGTCATCTCTTTGGAATTCCAAGGAACAGTCACAAGTTTGCTGTGGGCTGAGGTGTCTGCCTTCCAGAACAGCCCTCAGTTTGTAGGTGAGCAACCCTGGCCATGGTTTTATGATGGCAAGACCAGGTAGGGACCCTGAGCAGAGAGGACCTGAGTGGGGGTATAGTAAGAGATCCATGGGAGAAGGGGAGAGTCAGGAGAGGCAGCCAAGGTCCTGTCTTCAATTCACCAAGAAGCCTGTGGCCACAGTTCAAGTCCCTCAGCCTGCCTGGACACTTACACACTTTTGCACTGAGGTGGACAAACCTCTTACCCCACAACAACTTCCAAAGACTTTTCTCACAAGCACCTGGAGGAAGTGAATAATATCCTCATTTTACATATGAAGAAAGCTCCTGAAGTCAGGATGCTTGTCTACGGTCATACAGCTAGTGGAGTCCTGGTGAGAACAAGGGTTGGGGAAGAGCCATTAGCAACTACTGGGTTCTTGTTGGGCTCCAGGTCTTGTGTTTTCTTTCTCTGAGAAGCCGCAAGCATTACCTCTATTTACAAGAAGGAGAGGAGGGCCAGGGGAGAAAGGTCAGCAGTGGGTGATGGCCACAGGATGTCAGATCTGTTGTCCAGAGTCAGGTCTGATCCCCAACGGAGTCCCTAGCCTGGACTTCATCCTATCTAAACCAGTCTGGCTTCCACAAGGGACCCTAGTTCCGGTGGAAGCCCAGGGTTGGCCATCCCAGTGACCACATGGCACAGCCTCAAGTGTTGTTGTGGCCCACCATCTCCACTCCAATGACTCCCAGCATGCCTCACTTGCCCTTAATCCACCGCATGTCTTGCCCCTGACTGAATGGGTCTGATGGTTTAGGGTGGGCTCTTGTCATCAAACTCCCTCTGGGACCAAGCCATCCAGGACCTTCTTCTTTACCTGTATGTTGTTGTTGTTAAGTGCCGTCGAGTCGGTTCCAACCCATAGCGACCCTGCACAGGGTTTCCGAGGGTGTAAATCTTTTACGGGAGTAGAAAGCCTGATCCTTCTCCCGCGGAGCGGCTGGTAGTTTCGAACCGCTGACCTTAAGGTTCGCAGCCCGATTCGTAACCACTACGCTACCAGAGCTCCTTTCTGTATATAATGGGCCTTATTTTATTATTGTTGTATTTTTGGTGAAAATTCACTTAATAGATCATACCCCCATGCACCGATTTCCACCGATACAGCTCAGTGACACTGATTACCTCCTTGGTGTTGTGTCTTGCTATCTCCCAAATTATTTCACCACCATTGACTCACTGATCCATAAACTACTCCTCTGGGTGTACAGTTACTGTTGTCTATTTGCTCTCATGTTGACAATTCTTTAAGAGAACACAGTGCTCAAGGTGAACATTCTTGATGAACTCAGCTAAAGTGCTGAGGTGTTTGAAAGATGACTTCAGAGGATAGTTTGGGTTCCAAGGTTCAAAAATTGTCTCGGGGTAACAGATTGCAGGTGTTTCTCCAATTGCAGTGGGCCTAGTAAGTCTTGGTTCTATGAGAAATGTTCCATTCTGTTTCACATTCCCTCACTCCTCTCCCACACTTTGACCAGGATTTATCTATTATGTCTTTGATCAAAATGGTGGCTAGGCACCAACCATTCTTCTGTTCTCATGCTACCCAGAGCCTTCTTATTACCCCTAGAACTCTCTTCTTTGAAACTTCAGCCAGGTTGCAGATGTACCCCCAGGTCTCTGCTCCTCTCTCTGTTACCCCACATTCTGGAGGTTTGATACTCACTCACTGGTTGAATCTTGCCAACAACCCTACGTGCAGGGTGACTCAGAACAGTGAAGCATCTTGATCTAGATCACACAGGGAGTAAAGTCTGTGCCACTTCTTCCTGGCGTCTTCTTGGTTACCATCAGTCAAGGTCAGCTGACAATGGACCAGAAATAGCCCTGGGACTCTTCAGGGAGCAGACAGCCCAGAAGGGGGCCATGATCATGAGCGTGGGACCAGGTGGGAAGGTATATCATGGGTGGGTCCAGTTATTGTTGCTGTTAAGTGCCATCGAGTTGGCACCAACTCATAGCAACCTTATGCACAGCAGAACGAAACACTGCCCGTTCCTGGGCCCAGTGCCTCCCCCTAGTTCCTTTCCAGAGGCAGCAGGAACCCTTGGGGACTCCTGAGTGCAGGGGTTGGGGAAACCCCAAACTTCAGACCATCTCTGTGCATTATGACTCAAGTGCATGAGAGAGTAAAAGCTCTGGCTTGGGACACAGAGTGCACTGGGACAATACTGACTGACTTTGGGGCCCGCCCATGCTACCAGGTTGGTGGGTGGCCAGGCAAGTCCTGTTAGGCAGTGGCGTCACTATAAGGGCATGGGGGCGGGAGGTGGAAGTGGACCACACTAGTCAGAGGGGGTGACACAAAAAGACTCTCTATAAAATTTTTGTGTAGTCTTTCATCAGAAACAAAGAAATATAAATATAAAATATCCCTGCAGTTAGTTATAACAACAAAAACATTTCTTTCCAAAAGAGAATCTATGGACTAAGGATATTTTTTTGGCAACACGAATCTGACAAGTGACTAATCTCTAAAATTTATAGAAAATTTCAACATGCCACCAACAAAAAGACAAACAATCCAATAGAAAAATGGGTGAAGGACTTGAACAGATACAACCAAGAAAGGCACCCAGGCAGCCAACAAATATATGAAGAGACGCTTAAGATCACTAGCCATTGTTGTTGTTGTTAAGTGCCGTCGAGTCGGTTCCGACCCATAGCGACCCTGTACAGGGTTTCCGAGGGTGTAAATCTTTAC